TCCTCTCACAGGTAACCTCAAACTCTCCAGACAAATGCTTCCCTGTATCTTCAATTTCTTTATTGTTTTCCAGACGAGTTTTTGCATAAGTTGGATCTTGTCCTATTTCAGGCAGAATTGAAGATGTTTTGTTATTTACTTCCAAATTAATTTGGTATGAACATTCACTTGAAACAGCTTCATTTCCACCCTCAAAGGCATCTATATTTATGCCATGGCTGATCACTGATTCTTTGCACAGAGCTGCAATTCTGGTCTCCATTTGTGCTAATTCAATTTTGTTTTTGTCCAAACCATTGTCAGTCTTAAATTGATCCCCTGATAATGAATTGCATTCTGTGTCAAAGTGAAAGGAGTACAGTGGAAGAGGATTCCGAACTAATTTCTCAATTTTCTGAATTTTTCTTGGTGTTTCTTGGTCCCATCTTGAAGTGCATCTCTTCAATAATGTCCTGCAAGAGAGTTTGTTGAACAATAAATTCAGACAGGCCTGAGATCACAAGATATAAAAGAAACAAGAACAGGTTTCTCAGTAAACAATGATCTGAAGAACACCTTGAGGCACCGAACAAAATATGTAGAAGGGTGTAAAAATTATTAGCTCAACACGATCCTTCCATAAAAGCCTCAAATATCTTCCTGAAAAAAAGTATTTCAAGAAAGTTTGGTTTTGTCAACTGAGGAGATAAGGGAAATTGGCTACCATAGAGAGATTCTTAAAGTGACATTTTGAGCTCTTCGTCAAAGCAAAGGGCCAACTAAGGGGTGATGCTCGAAAACTCAGCTTTAGAAACTCTCTATGGAGGCCAATTTACACCATCAACTCAGTTGATAAAAACAAATGATCCCTCTTTGTCAGCCTGTCTGTCTGTCTGTCTGTCTGTCTCTGCCTTCCTGCCTGCCTTTCCATTCTCTGTCAGTCTATTTAGTCCACCTCTACCTGTCTGCTTTTCATTTCACTTTTTCCAACCATTTACTATATACTTCTGCTCCTTTTCCTTCCTTTCATTCAGTTTCCCATCATATTGCTTACTTTGGTACAAGGTCCTCCTTTTCTGAAAACACTCTATCAGAAACAATGTTCCCTTTTGTTTTTGTGGTTGTCCTATGCAAAGACACCTATGGAAAAAACACTGCCTGATCAATTATAGCAAGCTATCCTCTGGGAAAGTATGGAACAATACTAATGATGATCTTCTGCTAAATCAATCCAGATAAAAAATTCTAAAGGAAATCTTCCACATCTTTAACCCTTTAACTCCAATGAGAAACCAAGATGGAATTTCTCCTTACAATATTAATACAACAACATCAAGCAAACGAGTGATGAGAATAAAGAAAAATGTAAATTGGGGGATTATCAGTTGATCCAATACCAAATAAGAATTGTATGGCAGACAGTAAGGAGAATTACTAGAAAGATCTTGGGATTGAAAGGGTTAATTTAAAAATGGAATAAGACTGAGACAGTGCAGAGAAGACTACTGGTTACTGAAAACTAGTCAAGACAAAATACTGAACCTTCAGTTGGTAGATTATTGTTCCTGCCTCATGTAAACAGCATGCTATTGTAAAAAAAAAAAAAAAGAAGTAGTATATACATCTCTTACCTTTTCACACTGTTTTAGGCCTGGTTTGGTTCCTAGGGAATCTTTAGTATTTGACAAGACTCCATCCCTCTTTTCTTGGCCCCAACCCAACTGCATACAATGGCCATAAATTTCAAATTCCTGCATGCTGTTGGCAACAAACGCAGTCACATCAAAAATGTTCTACCTATTTTTCAACCATCCATACAGGGTTAATTTTGGGGGATATTTATTTTC